GAAAAAATAAATAAGACTTCGGCAATATATTTAGATCCAATGGGGGATGTTGAAATAGTAGCCTCCTCTTGGAATCTAAACTTTTTTCTACAATATGGACACCTATTTTGAGATGCTAAAAAAGGGTAAGGATTTGGTTCCGAAAATGAAATTGATTTGCGAAAGGCTTCATACTTTCGAAGACCAATGCCTTTTAGTTTTGGAAAATACAGAAAAGAAAATGTTAGACTTGGAAGAAAATAACAAACTGTTCATGGCTCAAAGTAGGGCACGAAATAGGCGAGCTCCATTTGGATTTATGGGATCCCTATATCATATTTTATTTGGGATAATGGATGAAGACGATAGGGTTCAAATGGAGGATAATATGAAAAACTTATTAAGCAATCAGCACAATCTGAATGAGCTTAGTAAGAAACAAACTTCTTTAGTCGATTCTACAACAAACATTTAAAAACAACCACTGATGAGGTAAATAGGAATTTTAAGGGAATGAATACGCGAATTGAGACTGCTACACTACAAGAATCATATAATGTGTACAGAGAATCTATCAAATTCTTCATGATAACCAAACAATTAAGTAACATAATAGATGAATGCGAGAAAACACAATCTGGAATCATAAGCTTATTAATAGATATTAATCATGGTCGACTTAATACTAACATTTTAAAGCCAAGTCAATTAAACGGTGCGATTTCAAAAATAAGAGATAACACTACTCGACAAAATCGAACTTTTTTTTCCTCAAGGATCCAAACCGACTTTTTCTGATAGATATGGGGATTTAAATTTTTTAAAGAATTATGGTTTTTTTTCTATGGCAGAACTTTTTTTTGAAGAATTTTTGAAGTCTGGTATTTTTTTTTAAAGCTGTTTTTAGAGGCTTGTTTTTTTCACATAGCTCAAGTATCTTACGTCTGGTTGTAAAGAACTTTGCTATTTTGAAAAGATAATTAAAACAGCTAGAAGTTAAGCCCAAACACTTTGTGATTACAGCTTATCGTCTGGGAAATATAAAGCATTGAAATGCAAAAATGATGATTTTTGTGCGGTATTTTTTACGAAATTTTGTGTCTATATCTTGTGTCCTCTATTTTTTATTGTATAGGTGCGTTAATTTGGCGTCGTTTAAGGTATCGCTCATTAAAATCTATGGAGAGACTTTGGAGCTAAAATTCGTTAACCAAACCTAAAATATGAAAAAAATGAACAAAAAATACCTTTTGGAAGGTTGCGAGCCCAACTGCCCATTGGGAAAATTTCCATTCAATGTATGGATTATATTCTAAACTTCATACATATTCTTTCTAAACCTAGCTAGCCTACGGTGGCAAAGCCTTGACCGAAAGAGAGAGCTTTTATTGCGCCCTCGCCTTGCCCTAACATACTTACACTAGACTTCAAACAATTCAAAATAATCTTAACACAAAACATTGACTACGACGACAACATGACGAAACAATTTTAAAATTCTACAAAAATCATAAGCTCACATATTTATATACTGACTGAGGTCGGGTATAAAAGTAGAGTCGATTTTAACGGCGGAGCGATACAAAAATACGTCTGAAGTCGTTGACGTTTGACGGCTTATTTTAAGAATACAATAAAATACACAATCAGAAATTTAACTCTAAACAATGCAATTCTAACACCAATCACATCAAACGGAAAGGAGGTGTGCTTTTTTTTCTCAGAGAAAAGAATGTTGTTCGATATATCGTAAGAAATATAGATTATTTTGGCAAATATCGCTTTAAATATCATATAATTTTGAACTTAAATATTGCATTCACGTATCGATTTCTTATCGATATTGCCATATTGATACCCATCCCTTATTCCGAGTATGGTTTCGAATGCTTTTGTTGGGGTTGAACACAGCGCCACCGTGATGCAGAGCATTTCCTGTCGCGGAGTTCTTTCGATGGGCATGTTGTGCCTCTCTTTTCGGTAGCATGCCATCACACTAAGACTCCATAAAGCAGAGTTGCGCAGAACCCAGATGTAAATCCAGTGCATTAGAGCATGTGACAGGTCCAATGTGCTGCTAAGCACCTTTTTGGGTGCGTATAGCACAATTTTGGCCTTTTTCAGCCTTTCTAATACATTGGGTCTCCATGCCAGTTGGCTGTCCACTATGTCCACTATCTACTATGCCTAGGTAAGGTGCGCGAAAGAAGTCACCTTACATACATAAAAACCCTTATAAAATTTTCAAATTTCCAAATTTTTAATTTCTTTATTTTTTATACCCGTACTAAAAAGAGTTAAGGGTTATTTGAGTGGAGTGTGTAACGCAGGGGAACGTTCCGACCCCATAAAGTACAATCTTACAGCACAATAGCCGAGTCGATAGAGCCAGCGCTGTCCGCTGCTGTGCCGCTGGGCACCATTGGTTCCAGACTCACTCCAGACTCACTCCCACTGTTACAAGTGTATTTCAAAATTTCGCCCCGCCCCCTTCCGCCCACACAAAGAACGAAAATCTGTGGCAGGCACATTTTTAAAGATACGATAAAACTAAAAACGCATTATCGTAGAGAATGATCATATCTACCAGACTGCCGAATCTGAATCAGATCGGATCATAATTATAGCCAGAATGAAGAAATTAATTTTCTGTTGCTTCCCCTGCCCACTCCTTCCAACGACAACGCAACTCATTTTCCATCTCTCTCGCACACTCTGCCGCGTTCAGTGCGCGAGCAACCCCTATCGGAGGAGATGTAGAATCTAAATGGTACATGTATAATCTACATGTTAGATGTAGAATATACATAATATATGTAGATGTAGATAACAGATGCAGCAAAAAAATGTAAAATGTAAAAATTAAAATTTTTTTTTTTAATGCTAAAATTCTAAAAAATCATATGTTCAAAAATGTAAATACTGACTGAGTACGGGTATAAGTAGAGTCGCGTCTTTAGAAGCGACTCACACGTTCCTTCTCGTTTATATTAAAGTCAACAAAATAACAGGTCAAAAAAGGCCAAAAAAAGTTTTGTATACATTTGAAATATTTTTAATTAATTAAATGAATATTTTCTGGAACGAAATAAGTGAACTTTTAATTTAATTAGAATGGTATTTTCTTAAATTTACTTATATTTAAAATTCTTAAAGGGTATTAAATTGCCTAAATGTGGCCTCCTTTGCTATTTAAAACCTTTGTAATGCGTCCTGGCATTGAAAGGATCAATTTTTGGAGTAAGGATATATCCAATTTCGCCCACTCCTTTACTATTGCCTCTTTCAATTCTCGTACTTATTTCACTTGTGTTTTTGGGGTCAGAAGGGTTTTATTAATTTTCGGGGGATCCATGTTGGTACCTTGTATCTCTTGGTAAAAAGGATGAGGTCCGTCTTGACCGCGTTGATACTGAGTCAAACTTATTCCGCCCACTCACATATATCCCTGAGTTTTGATTCCATTACAGAGCTGAGGGTCGATGTACATATCCCGTAGTAATTATGCTTATTTTTGGGGCTCTCCTCTCGAATTTCTTGATTAAGTCGTCGACCACCAGATTCCACATTAAGGGCGGCAGGACCCCACCCTCTGTATTCGCTAGGCTGGGACAAAATTTGACCAAAATATTTTATTTTTTTTCAAGGGAACACCTCCCAAGTCTGTTCTTTGTTATTCAATAAAATTATAAAATTGTTTTTCAAATTTTTAATTTAATGTGTGGGGGTTTCTACCACGAAAAAAAAATACACTTTTTTGGTTAAATATACATTAAAAAAAATGTAATTCGTCGGTTTTTTCAAATAATATTGAAACTTAGAAACTAGTTCATAATGATAATAAGGTATTTATAATTTTTTTAATCTTTTAATCCCTGAGTAGGATTTTAAATTCCTCGTTGATTATCTCATCGTTCGCCTCTTTGGCGATTTATAGGAATTCAGTAACTCCTTGGATGGGTAGACGCTACGTACGCCCCACGTCATCTTCCCAAATCTCTGGTAGAGGATGTTTTCCGCCTCCTTGAGCTGGAGGATCATCTGCTTACCCCCCTCGTTGGGTAATAGGCTACCAGCATGCAGTATCCTCCAGTCTGCCGTTGGCACTTCCGTGTTCTGCCTCTGTAGAAACTTAAGTTCCAGGTCTCCCAGGACCCAGGACTCAGTGCCTTTGGGATGGACTGGATTATCTAAAAAAAAGTTAAATAGATGTAAGTAAAAGCTAATAAAATAAAATAAAGATAGAAATGACCTAGCAATTAGAGTACGTTACTGTGTTTATATGTTTGTGCAGCGGTTTGACGACAATTTTCGTTGTTTGAGGTAGGTTTGCTGTGGATGCCACAGATTTTCGTACTTTGTGAGCGGAAGGTGGGCGAAATTTGGAAATTCACTTGTAACAGTGTGATATTACATGGGTTTGGAAACAAAATTTGGTTGTTCTAGCTCTTAAAGTCTCTGAGAACTAGACGCTCATCAAGACGGATAGACGGACGGACGGAAAGATAGACATTGCTATATCGACTTGGCTGTTGGCTGTCTAAAAATTAAATTTTAAATGACCAGAGAGAATAAATATTTAACTTTTTTTTTTTACCGATTAACACAAAATCGAAGCTTATTATTTCATATACCACAAGCAGTCAATCATGCACCGGAACCAAAGTTAAACTTTGACTTTTATTGACATTTCTTTGACATTAAGTAGACATTGTATTATCATGTTATTGTTCACACTACATTTTGGAAGATTTTTCTTTCAAATGCAGTGTATTTAAAAAAAAAAAATCTTAATTTTTTCATAAGCAAGCTAAAATGCTCCGTGTGAGGGGTTCAAAGAAATGTATTTCTGGGGGATAAAGAAATCCCTTGGTCCTTTGGTTAAGTATGGGTCTAGGTCAAATCGACACAGGTATATTTTATATAAAATATATATTTTATAAGTAAGCGCCGGAATTGGTATCTTCCGTTTCTTTCTTCTGTACCATCCCTGATTGAGAAGAACTATATTTTTCTTCCAGTAACTTTGTCTGTGCGTCACCCTCATATGTTCTACTTTAACGATACGATGATGAAACTGTTTACTACACGCAATCTGACTGTGGTCCCATCAGTGACGGTATCCTTTGAGAAGATTCTCACCGTCCCAGATTGGTGGGACTATTTGGTATATAACTTTATAAATACATTGCACGGAGATATGACCCCAGACAGTTCCAAAAACGCATTATTCAAATCTGATAACGACGCTAAAACCGATCGGAACTCATTTAAGTCCAGTGAAGATATCTTGTATGTGGAGGAGGGAAATATTGACAGCAATAATGAATCCTCTAGGAAAAAAGGAGATGCTGGAACAAGACCACTTTACGGCGGGTTCGATGATATCGACGCAGACGAAAATCTTGATTACTTCAGCGACAATGCCGGCGACACCATCCAAAGTCGTAATGCTCAAAGCGGTACTACACGAGCTGTCCCATGGGCTGGCAACAGCTCTTATTTGACAACCCATCTCCAGGGTCGCTTATTTCTGCAAGAGAACCTGATGCTTGGACCACCACGCCTACGGCAGATTCGCGTTAGCAAGGACAGCTGTTATGTGGACGGTGGCTTTACTCGGAATTTCAACTCTTGCTATCCCGCCTATTCCATGGGGGCCGAAGAGAACACCGGGTCGCACAAAGGCGCTCGATACCGAACGATGGGCGAACTGGGCGCCACTCCGATCTTGACTTTACTTGCTTTCTATCGCTCTGGTGGGTACACTGTTGATCTGACCTACGACAAGGATGAGAATCTGCAGATCATAACTAAACTGAAGGGTGTTAATTGGCTGGATCGCGGTTCGAGGCTTTGTTTGGTGGAGTTCAATCTATTTAACGATAACAAAGACATATTTCAGAGCGTCAAGTAGGGTTTTTCTCGATCTGAGTCTAAGCTTATTAAAATTATTCTTCCCTCCAGACTTATTGCTGAAATACCTCCCACGGGTGGTGTCATACCGCAAGCACATCTGCAAACAGTCAAACAGTATTCTTTTTTCACTGATATCAGTTTGACCATGACTGTCATCTATATATTCTGGTATATAATGGTATTTTACTACACCATTTGTGAGATCAATGAATTATGCAAGACGGGATGTAAAATCTACTACAAATCATTACTAAACATTCTAGATAATGTAGTTTTAGTGGTAATTATCGTCTGAACTGTTCCATTCCCGATCTAATTTTTCTTATACCCAGTTATGTTACCTAGCCTTGCTCTATAACATTTGGCATACCCTTAAAATGAAATCCATTACATCCAAGGCACACTTGAAACCGAACTACCAAAGTATCGATGTTCTTTGCTTATCGAATATAATCTATGTGGATATGATGGCAATTTTAGCATTTCTAGTATGGATAAAGATATTCAAGTTTATTAGTTTCAACAAGACACTCATTCAGTTCACAACGACACTAAGAAGGGTATGTCATTCTATTCAAAACTGAGACATCAAATGAGATTGATTTTTTGAAATGTTATAGTGCTCCAAAGATTTGACTGGATTTAGTATCATGTTTGGTACTGTTTTTTTGGCCTATGCGCAATTGGGTCACCTGCTTTTCGGGACTGAGCATCCAGATTTTCATAATTTTGTTACCTCAGTCTTAACAATGATCCGCATGATCCTCGGTGATTTTCAGTACAATCTTATTCAGCAGTCCAATCGAGTGCTCGGGCCTATCTACTTTCTCACCTATATTGTGCTTGTGTTCTTCATCCTGTTGGCAAGTTTGACAATTAAATTAGATTGAAAAATTTTTAATGGATTTTTTTCCACAAGAACATGTTTTTAGCCATCATTATGCAAACTTATAACTCAGTAAAAAATGAAATCACCCAAGGACGTAGCCAATTGGCATCATATGTCTATAAAAAACTGACTGGTGCCCTCTACTGGATAACTCACTGTGGCCGTAAGCGTCGTATTCTGCCAGCCCGCCCGACAACTGCTTTTAAAGAAGCTGATCTGGATTCCACGGCCACAGAATTAAAGGAGCCCAAGGTGCTGAGGAAGAATATGACCAAAGAAGAGTACATTTTCTAGGTGTAACTCGTAAAAGACATATTTTAAGCTTCATATCTATTTCAGGGCACGATATTTCGAAGATATTCCACCTGATGTTCAGAACAAGGAATTGTTTCGGTAAGAGCAACTATGTATTGTGTGGGTTTAAGATTATCACCTTTGCTTTATTTCCTACCCACTAGTATCACCAATCGCGTCAGTCTGATTGAAGAAGTTCTCGAACAGCTTGTTACGAACATGGATAACATACTTCAGCGCTTTGAAAGAGACCACGGCGCAAGGAAGAGCTAAGTTCGAAATATGTTCGCAGCATCCCGATGTAGTCTGCATTTAATAAAATCTGAAAAATTCATTGAATATATTGCAACGAATTTGTAATGTTTCCTCTGCGACCAAGTAAAAACACTGGGTGGGTGTACTTACGAATCAATTCTTTGGTTGTCATAGACTTCAGCTTATGGATATGGTTACAAATGGAACTTCTATGTTTAATTGGACAGCCTAGATCCGTCTGCCTTGATCCGCCGCACCAATTCCGCACTCAATGGTTCACCACTCTCTGTTCTGTTAAGGTTAATCAGATGCTTGCCTATATTTATAATTTATACCTGAAAGATATGTATGAAATCACGCTCTTGAATTGTGAAGTCTTGTGCTCTTATACTATGTTGCGAACATGCGTATGCCAGCAGCAGCCGCTCATGAAGAGGGCGCCGCTGTAGAATAAACTCACTGATGATTGAAAGTCTATTGAATGGTATGGGTATGGGTATCTATTGAAACCCTAATAAATCGTGCCTAACGGCAGGCTTTTTTGCACAACCATTTTTGGCGCCCCCGGGTGTACTTGGATTTTCTGGATTGGACAGAAGCTGGACTGGATTAATCTTGTCGCTACGTTGGATATCCGTTTCTACGTTGCTGTTTCTGTTCCTGCAGTGTTATTGGTGGCCCGCTGGACTTCAAACTTCGCTGCATTTTCAGTGGTGATCGTTGGTATTCCTGGTTGGTATGAATTTGCGGGAGAAATTCATCGGTGTTCAAACAACCATCAACAAGGGCCACAGGTAAATCAAAATGCCCAATTACTCCATTAAAAATTAAAAATAATTACGTATAAAAAGAATATAATTTTCTTGCGAATCAAATATTCCATAAAAGTGATTATTTGGTTTAAGCCTTGAGTGATCACTATACTTGTGGTCAACGACATTTCCAAAAAGAGCCGACAAGCAAAGGAGAAACGGCAATAGTTTCGCGTGCAAGCTTTAACCGCTGCGCATCATTCCCCCTTCGCACGTCTTCGTCATAAATTTTCGTGTCTGCTTAGCACGAATGATTCTTGCTGGACGCTCTTTGTTTATGCTGCCCAGCTGCACTCTTGTGCTCCCTCGTTCAGTGCTCGTGCTTGCTCTTTCTCGTTTCGTGTTCTCTCCTTCTCTCCTACACACTCCCCCGCAAGATGGATAAAGCCAGGTTAAGCCGTAGCTTGTAGCTCCTTCCGCCCAACCGACCGAGGGGCGCAGCCGCATGACGCGTGACGCGTGTTACCGAACTGATCGCGAGCATGCAGGAAAGCCAGGTGTTAGACTAAAGTTCGAGAAAAATTAGAGCTAAACACAACTCAAAGAGCTAAACATGCAAAGATAGCTAAGAAATAGTACTAATTACTGGAAAGGTATGTAAGTACTAGTGATTTTTCATATCTAACTGTATAAGTTGTATTATTTACAGCAAAAAGACCGGCAAGCAAGATGGCCTCTTGCATTGCGACAAGGGCGATGTACCAATCCATACGGTGCACATCGATTACTTGGGTCCGACGTCTAAACAGTATAAGTTTATTCTGGTAGTAGTGGATGGATTTTCAAAGTTTGTCTGGCTGTTTCCGACGAAGACTACAGGCTGCGAAGAGGTCGTAACGAAGCTGAGCGAGTGGTCCAACTTATTCGGATTTCCGAGGCGCCTGATAAGCGACAGAGGCGTTGCATTCACGGCCAACGCGTTTGCTGAGTTCCTCAGCGTTAACATAGAAGAGCATGTCTGGTCAACAACTGGTGTAGCTAGAGGTAATGGTCAAGTCGATACGGTTAACCGCTCAATCCTTTCGATCATAACAAAGCTGTCATCAGAAGAACCGTCAAAGTGGTTCAAGTATGTACCTTCTGTGCAAAAAGCGATTAACTCCCACATTCATATGTCGACGAAAGTATCACCATTCGAAATCATGTTCGGCATCAAGATGAATAGCAAAGCAGAAGACCGACTAATGGAATTACTGAATCAGGAGCTGGTAGAGAAGTTTAACGACGACCGTCTTATGTTGCGAAATGAAGCTTTGGCAAGAAACGACGTGTCGAGCATGGCTACAGATTGGGCGATCTCGTCGCTGTTAAGCGAACCCAATTTGTTGCAGGTCGCAAGCTGGCGAGTTCATACCTTGGTCCGTAGGAGATCGTCAACATTAAACGTAACGGACGATACGACGTGAAAAAAGCAGCCCCGGACATCGAAGCTGTGACCATCTAAAGCTGTGGAAGTTTGTCGAGGAAAAGGAGGAGCTGTTGTCATCCGGGACGGATGACGAATTTCAGGATGGCCAAATGTAAGAAGGCTGGGTCGCGCACACAAGCGCAGACCTCGCCGATAGAGCTGAGAGCAGAGAGAGCAAAGAGGAGATCGCGAGAACGTCAGCCGACGCCGCTCAGAGACCTCTCGCCAATTCCGTTGTCAGTCGTCTTTTTCGTCAGTCGTAGATAATATCAGTCGTTCTTTAAATCAGTTGTCATTCGCTTTAAAACATATCTTAACAAAGCTGTATCCATTACTTATATATCTCTTCAATAAACATACATTTAAGCACAACCTTTCACATAAATATTAAAATCTAAGAGAATATTAAAATTTCAGGGCTTTTTTCTATCGGTGTATGATGAGGTTTCGAACAAACTCTGCAATATGACGATTTGCACTTTAACACAATGTGTCCTTTGCGTAGGCAATTAATGCATAGCGGCACTTCCTTTGCACATTGAAAGCGGATTGCGACTGAAGCCGATGCGAAAGCCGAGCACAAAGTGATGAAATTATCAGTTGCCTTGCAAAATGAACATTTCTGATCTTGAGTAGGTTTGGCTTGAGCCACAGTCATCGAAGATGATTGCTTGCTCTGTAAATCCTGACTTGTCTTTATTCGTTTAGATCGCCCTGAATTCGTCTCTTCAGCAGATAAATGTTGGTAGGATTTGTTAAGCGCAGATACACAGTCCGAATTCTCTTTCCATCGAGAGCGAGAGCGGGTTTTTTTTATCTACCTTGGACATGACGATGTGTATCAGTAAAGCATTCGAAATTTGCTTATCATCTCCTACAGATAATGTTCTCGTTCATTCTATTTGTAACGCTTGTAGCAGCAGCCAGAGTGTGCGCGGGTGGCGCTCTCTGTCGGCCAGGGGAAAACAGGTGGTGCCCTCTAGGGCTCAGAACGAATGATCAGAGCAAGGAATTTTTCGGATGGAAAGAGAGTAACAGGGACAAATGTCAGGCCTTTCACTCAGTGGCCCTTAACCTTTCCGAGTCCATGAGGTTGGCGCTTGAACGGAAGCGTCTGGCTCGATCTTTTCTTTTTGGTCCCCCAGTCAGTGTGGCTGTGCGGAGTGGAAGAACTCCCGTTTGTATACGCGCATAAACACAATTAAAGTGCAAAGTGGGTTTGAAAGGGTGCAGAAAGGAGGAGGGTTATTCTTGGGGAGAATTTCCGTTGAATTGGTGAGAATAAACAACTAAAGTTTGAAGGCGACAACGTCTAATTTCATCGCATTCCGACTCACTCGCAGATCTTGGCGCCCGTTAGCCATCGCTGGGCAGAGGTGACGCAGCGAAGAGGTGCCTTTAAATTGTCCAGGAGAAGATCAGCAGAGGAGTCCCCGCTCCGTCACCTAGGAGGCGGCGGTCAACACACGCAAAAGCTCGGACGGGCCCATTTTTTTGCATCTCCCTTGCGCCTGCCTGTTCGTTTAATACCAGTCGCGCTCGCGATCAGCAGCTTAGGGAATAAGGGAAAAGGGGATCAGCAAAAATTCTAGCAGGCAGAGCTAGCGCTTAGCGGATGGCTAGTTAGTGCCGTGGACTGGCAGTGAGACAGCTGCGTCGGACGACCCTTCGCTATCGGGAACGAGTGAATCGCGAGAGACCCCCTTGTGGTTCCGGGCGGCGAATCACCCGAGGCTTATCAGATGCCAAAAAATAATTTTATTTATTTTTTTGTGATTAGTTCGTGTATTTTTTTGTTATGTTTAAGTTAAAAGAAAATTAAATAATTCTAGTTTAACCGTTACGTTTGTGTCGCAGCCAGTTAGGTATTAGATCATCACCCCAAATAGCCGACGAACAGAAGCCGGAAACCTCAACCGTGCGCTCCCCCTCACTGACCAACAACTAGCCTGGGATAATTCATATATTTGTGTTCGTGGGTAGGCAGGTGAGACGTTACATCTTTCGTAGTGACCAGACGTGTTTTTGTTTTGCGCTCCGCATTTTCCTTTTGTTTCACTTAAACAGCCGGTGTTTTTTTATCTATAATTTAACTCTCTAACTAACTTACATTAAAATCATACTTTTACCGCGGGTGCATGCCTGATAATTGTGTAAAAACACAACTTATTTAATTAATTTTGTGGCTTGGGATGGCTTGCCCCCTTTGTCATCCAAGCAAAAATGTTCATTCAGGAAATTTGGTTAAGAGAGTTAGGGTGGGATGACGTCCTCCTTAGCGATCTATCGCAAACCTGGGAGACGTTCCTGAAGAGTTTTCCGGCCATCCAGGATATCCGCATTCCGCGGTGGTTGCACGTTTGTCCGATGACCAAGGTGCAGATACATGGCTTCTGCGACGCGTCTCAACGTGCCTATGGGGCAGCGATTTACATCCGAGTTGAGCGACCGCAGGGCATTGTCTGGCCCTTCTCACAGCCAAAACCCGCGTGGCCCCCGTGAACACGGTTTCTTGACTCGAACTCGAACTGTGCGGAGCCGTCCTTCTGACAGAACTTTCCGAGGCCATCCTTCCTCAACTGCCACTAGACACCAGCCTTGTGCCCTTCTGGACCGATTCCACGATTGTATTGGCCTGGCTGAACAGACCTGCATGCAATTGGACCACTTTCGTGGGCAATCTAATAGCCAAAATCACTCGATGTTGGCCCAGCGAGCGATGGAGCCACGTCCGATCCGAGGATAACCTGGCCGACCTGGCCAGTCGAGGGCTAGGACCCACTGACCTGGTCGGAAGTGATTTGTGGTGGCATGGCCCTGCTTGGTTGCGTGGCCCCAATCGGAGTGGCCTTGTCCGCGGGACTCAGTCCTTGAGACTGACCTGGAGAAGCGAGTCGTCAA